AAACAAATTCATTATTTGAATTGACATTAAAAACTTAAGCACGAACGCATAGACAATTTTTATATATTAAACGCAGTCGAAAATCAGATTTAAGTAGATCATTATAATTACTATTTATAAATTTAAATATTTAATAATTTATATACTTTAAAGCTCCGGTCCACAGCACTAGTACGGATACCTAAATCGGATATTACAACGCATACTGATGACGAATCCACAACGGATGTGCAACTGCAGGACATAATAGGGTTACACATGATAGCATTTTGTAAACCGCGTGCAAAAGATTAGTTACTCTACGATTTAACTTGACCGTTATTAGTTTATACCTTAATCCCGATTCCACTGACAACGAACACACAACATAAAATACTTTTATATTACTTGATAGAATAGTTTTGCTAAAAATCAATAGAAAATTCTATAGAACAAAACATTTATCGAAATCTTCCAAAACTTTTTACGCGCATAAAATTGCTGAAATGTCACTTCGCGTATCTGTGAGGTATTCATCGGTAAATTACGCAGAATACTGAATATGTGGAAATTAATTAATTTCTAGCATAGGTCGAGTTTGCAATCTGGTAAATTTTATGATCAGTAAGCAAATCGCCGATACGACGCAATATAAGCTTCGCAATTCATACGATTTCTATCAATAAAGTAGTGCGTATTGTTAATACAACTATTTATAAAAAAAAATTTTCTTTAATTGGTTACACTAAATCACGATATCAATTACAACTAATTTAAGCAATTTTTTTTTAATAATTTAATCGTACCTTTTTCAAAAACAACAGCCGTTTAAAAATTCTAACGATTCCTATTTCACTTTATTGTTGGCAAAATACATTATATAATAAATATCAGAAAAACATACTGGCCGTCAATGGCGCGGGAACGACACAACGAAATTCAAAAAAAGGGACGGAAGAAGTTTTTACGCGTACAAATGGTATACAGTGAAACTACTATTCGATACAAACTGTTATATTGTAACGAATTCTTATTGCAAAGCGACCAGAGAAAAGGTAACGAAACGGAAAAGAAACGTGGGACAGCGAACACAATGTGTGAATTGTGTACGGTTCAGTAATATACAAAACTTCACGTCGCTCAACGGTGTGGATTACACCGGCGGGTGCTGTTGTTCATACAATGAAAAATCTGCTGCCCAATTTTACATTAACGACACCGAAAATCCGTTACAACATATAAAATACCCAGAAATTATTCACGTTGAGCGCCAAAAGTTAGTTAACGAGAAGAATTGAAGTGTATTTAATCGTGTTGAGGTTAAATATTATTAAACCTTTACAAGTACAAAAATTACTGTTCTAACAAACTTACTGGATTTGATACTACGCGAGTTTAAAAGTGAGACAAGTTACCATACTTATTTTTCTATTTCTTACACATGAAAAAAAATGTGTTCAAACTTATAAAGTAGAACGTTAAATAAAAATATTTTTAAACAAACGATAATTTTAGGTTTCACTTCATTAAGCGAATCGTCAAAAAAAAAAAGGGGGGGGGATCCACGACCAAGTAAATAAACACGAAAGCATAATAGAAGCAGATGCTCAATTGAATCTTCGCTGAAAAAATAGACCCCATCACACCTGCGGTGGAAGTGGCCGCGGCAGGGGTCTTTAGGTTTGCGCGTACTCTACACTTTATCTATGGGGAGACACACTTTTTGTATATGTTAAACAAAATAAGCATTAAACTTATTTTCCCTTCTCGTACTAAAATCAAGCTAACACTTACATACAATACTATACACAATCAAAAACTATTATAAGTAAAAAACATTTATATTTTTTTCCAGTTTTACTTCCAGTTTCCCGTTACATGCTAAAGGGAGCTAGTTTTAATGTCTTTACACGTGTTAGCAGCACCTAGAAAAGTTTCTATACATATACTTCCCTTCTAATCACATAATAGACTGAACAAAATTAAACAAAAACTTCACGACTTCATAAATCTTTTGACCTCGTTAACGACTGCAGCTGTCGTCAATGGAAAGTTATTACCATTCCAAAAACAATGAATAGCAATCGTGAGTTTTAACAATAATGGTGAAGTGATAATTCAATTCTATTTTTGTTTCGGTGCACTAAATCTTTAACTATCAGGTTAATTAATAATTCTACATAAACATACGATTGACAAAATTCAAGTGATAGTATAATTTTTCATACTTTAACAAGTTAAAAAAATAAAAAATTTCTTTGAAACGATGAGGTGGTGGTATAACGAAATTATTATAAATTTTAATTTTATAAAACTAAACTTTGCCTACGTGACAATACAACACACCGACATAACAATATTAACTTAATTTTTTGACATTTTCTTCAATAGAAATCGCAGTTTAAACTCTTATCTAACAGACAGAGCCGAAACAAAATACAGGTTTAATAATGATTGACAACTCACGTCAAAACGTGTTTAGTTTTGTATTGACGCGACACTGACCTTACAGACATAACAAATTGTGTAGATAGCTTAACACTATCATTAAATTTTATGCGATTCCTCAAGAACTGTACCGGAAATAATTCATGATAGCCTGGAAGTATTATATACATCCTGTTAAAGACCACAAGTCAAACATAGAGAATTCTTGAGTATAGCAAAATAGGACTACAACAAACGAATAACTAGTGGAATTTAACCATCTCTCGTGTAAAACCAATTACTTCCGGTATATTATAATACCAATTATTGCCTGCATGGTAATGATTTTTTCTACTTATCGGACTATACATTTTTTTTTTTTTAACGCTCGACCCCGAAGGCAACGTGTACAAATTGAACCAAATACAATATTATAAAATTAGAACCGAAATTGTGAAATCCAGTTAACAGGTCCGCTACCAATAATAAATCATAAGGCCCATCGGTACATTATATTTACTGCCGTACAATTTCCAATTGGTTGCTTCGAGTTGACCCGCCGAGGGGTCCACTATCATCTATCTCAAAAGCACAGATCTACCTCTCCACATCACTCATCATAACATATTCAAGTACATTGTTCTTTTTAAATGGGTCAGAAAAAAATCAATATATCTCAGCTTTCATTGTACGCAATAAACATTAGGGGAACGAATTGATTTGACTTTGAGTTACACATTTAACAGAAAATATAACACATTTTTGAAAATTCGTCAGCGAAAACTTAAATACATTTTTAATTACACCAATTGAAGTATTCCAAGTAAATATCCAGCTAAAGTTAACTAATTTGCTTTTTTTATTTTGATTGATAAGATATCTAAAATATCCAAGTGTTAATTATTCACATATGCTACGATTATATGTATTCGATACCAACGCGAAAACATAAATTTCTCTTTGAGGGATAAATTATTCCGAGTAACTATGAAAATGGAATATAGAAATTTTTCTAACATGTAAGCAAAAGGCAAAACACAAAAGCAACAAAACCATTATAAAAAAATAAAGTTTTACCATCATATGAAAATATACATACGTAAAGGTGCAACACGCATAAACTTTTTATAACCCTAAATTTTATTTATAACTAAGTGACTTCTACTAGCTTTTTGTCCGTTATGAAGGTACTTGAGAAGTAATAAAATTCACTCATTTTAAATAATTGTGTGCAGCCAACGTGAGAAGAGCCTATTTAAATGGCTTATAACAATTATATAACTATAAACGATGTTTAAAAATTATTCTAATAAATTATTAAAATAATCAATAGTTAAAAACAAATAAGAGTTCCAATTGGTCGCTTCGCCGTCTTTCATATTATACGAAAACGATCAATATATAATAGGATATCCATGTCTTAATTTCCACTATTTTTACAGAAACTTTAGAATGACATACAAAAGGTAAATAAAACAAATTAAAATCATCTCTGGAAGTAACCTTGATATTTAATAACAAGAGGAAAAAAATAAAATAAATCTACTTTCAACGTGTAAGAGAATCCTATTGTTATATCTTAATCAAACAAATTTTAGTCAATCATTTTAGTTGGTTACAATAGCACAAGATACTTAAAAAAACGACTCGTGCGCGCTTCACACATGTAACGATTCAGTTGGCCGTTTAGTTATGCTTGACCTAAGCCGTTCAATGGTCTTGCACAGATAAGTCAGATCATCGAGTTATACGAATAAAACGCATTGAAGATACGCTTTGATCGTTTCAGTAGATATTTCACAACATAACGAAGAAATGATCACACAATATTTTGCTAGTCGTGAGTGCGACTTAAATGTATTTAAGATTTAGACCAACTAATTTTAATCGAGATCCCAAATAAAGACATAATTTTATTAAATTAAAACGAGTGACAAGTCTACAGTAAAAACTAATATGGAAAATAATAAACAAATACATTTTCTAGATTCTCAAAACGACTAAATAGACCAAACATTTAATACTATACATTGATAACAAAATGAAGATAACAGCAATACCACTAATAAGTAAAACACACGGCTAGTAATTTAATCAAAACAATTTTATTTCACTATACGTGTAATAATAAATATAATGAACAATTGGAAACTAAAATCAAATAAACAATGATAACAAAATACGAAGTTTCAATTAGCTTATATGGTAACATTTCTATTTTAAGGTATTAATGCTGCAAAGTCAGTGCTTGATGATATATTATGGTTAACATTATTTTACTCATGAGCACCCCTGTGTACATATTCGCCGTCGTTTTAATACAGTATAAAATCGTAAATTTTAAGCGACAAAAGCAAACTAGTAACTCCCCTAACCCTTTTTAAAGCTCGTGATTTATAGCATTGCATGTAGTATTAATACCTATTATTTTACATAGTGAATATATTTTTGTAAATTCCACTTGAAAAAATAAATAAATACGGGTCGCTTTCAGCTGATCATCGAAAAAATATTATGTAACCAACAGACATCAGTAAAAAATCAACAACAAATACCAACGATTATGTTAAATTCGATTAAAATTAAAAAATTACCTTCAACGCTGACGAATAACAGTATCAACAAAACCATCTGAATGGAAAACTGCCAGTTTACTTTCCAACGAGTCATTTTCGTGATATTTTCTAAATCCAATATGCACAACCGTCAAACGAAATAATAATTAAAATTACCGAACCAAATGTATGACCGTAACAATAATTATTTTTTCAAATATTCACTGGTCGATAACACACGCGCGATTTCGTAGCGACATGGTAGAAAAAATGGCTAATATTATTTATTTTTGTTTGAGATCACACCATAGAGTAATTAACAATACAAACGATCACTCACACACACATACACAATTTATGATAATATACACACGCGGTCACGTGAACGTAATCTCGAACAAAAAACGAAACGGTTCAACAAACTAACACCCCAACCAAATGGCTATCGCTAACTGAAGAGCCGGGACCGTGCGGCGCGGCTGCCGGATGCTTTACTGGCCCCTACTGATAACCCGCAGCGCTCTCTATCGGCAATAAATACATAGAAATTAAATCTATTAATATTGTCATGTTAAAAACTAGTTAATATTTATTTTAACAAGTGACTTTTAATAATTTATCGCATAACAAATTACTTGATGAAAAATATAATAAAAAAATTTACAAGAGTAATTAACAAAAATAATGTTGGATTTACACTTCTCAAATGGAAAAAATGATTCTATACAAGTTTAAATTAAAATACTATAATTTTCATAAAGCCATATTAACATTTTTGGCACCCCCTTTCGACACAGAATGGTTATGGTCCAAAGACGTTAGCATTCTATTGATGTATCTGATGTCTACATAAAATGAAGAGAAAGCACACGCCTGCTGATGTTTCGTATAGTAAAACACAATGTTAAACTACTCAAACCCTCCTCGTTTGAGAAATATTAAATCGAGTTATAATATTATTCGTGGCAACTGGTACGGTCTGTTGGATGTCATGTATAATTACAGGTATCGGTTTAGTTAATGGCTTGGGTGTAATATTTTGTAGTCATCCGATAATTTTCAGGTTTAGTTGTCGAAGACTGAGTGATACAACTGTAATAAATATCGCACTGTAATACTGTTCACAGTGAGTACTGTAATAAATGGGATAATGTATGTTGTCGCCGAAGGATTATTTTTTTTTATTGAAATATTGTAATAATTTAAAAAATTATATGATACAATAAGTGTAAGTTGTAATGCGTAGGATGACCTGACACAATAAATCATAAAGGTAAACTACATAGGTTATTTATTTTAAGTATATTATTAATTATTGATTGACACTGAAATCATATAATTTTTAGGAGTCTTAAACGTAAAATACATTTTATTCGGCTAAAATTTAAACTCCTAATTGACTTAAACTTTTTTTTACTCTCTATATTGCTGTAGGAAATTTAATTTTGATGTATCCAATTTTTTGTAAAACGATTAAAGTATACAAATAACTTAAATATTCAAAATATATAGTACACATTTTCGTGAGTTAGACGTATTTAAAAATATTAATAACACAAATGGTTGTATCATACAATGTGAAAAGAAAAAAAAATACTTTTGTTTAATACAGTATTAAACCATGTTAATAAACAAGATAAAAAATGATATACTAAAAAATAAAATTCCATGCTTAGATATTATTATTTAAAACGTTATTCCGCAAATTCTCAAGATTCTCAATAAGAATTGAAATAGTTCAAGTATTTATTTTAGAGTTATGTTACAAAGCAATTATTTAATATAATAAAATATACTCATATAGCAAAATATTTTCAATGTTCCATGTCCCAAGAGTAGCTTGAAAGTTTAATCAAATTTTCATAAACTCCAGACAATAAAAATTCGATTACTACACGCCATACAATGTAAATAAAATTCTAAAATGTTATGTAATATCATATTTATTAAGAACAAGTTATTTTTTCTAATTATATAAATTAGCACATAGTCATGGACGTCCGCAAAGGTGGCAGAGGCACTTGTTCAATTTTCATAATCGTAGTGTAATATAATCTTTTTTAAATAAAAGATAAAAAATGTTATTTTAGCAAATTACAATATAAATGTCAGGATTAAGAGCATTATTTTTTATAAATTAATGACGTATAGGTTTGGTTTTTATTTATTAAATATAAAGACATGCTTAATTTTACAAATAATACATAAAACTTTCAAAATATCTCTTATTTATAATTATTTTTTCTGTGAGGCCTATAGGCGCCCATTAAAATAACATCTTTGAAGATGCCAATTGTATTGGCTTCCTATCCTAAAAAACTACACATGTATAAAACAATATACATGATTTTTTGAGTAACTAATTTAATAACTAAGGAAGCTTTGCTTCTTCTCCTACGAAAAATCGCGGTTTGGTGGACGAGGATCACCCTCCCTCCTTTCAACGCTGTGTCTATTTAGCGGACAGCGAAATCAATTATTTAAGAAAAAATTTTGTTCCTGCATAAAAAATTTCTGCGGACGCCCTTGCGCATAAGCCTCCTGGAAAATAATTATAAATCACCCTGACAAGTTGTACCTTTCCTTTCAATTCTTTACAAATACTTAGATACCTAGGTAGTTGAATTTTTTTTTAGTTATGATTGATATTAGAAACGGCCATAAGTTTAATGGATTGCAAACATAATGTATTGCTGGCACACGATCTACGTCTTTGAAATCAATTGAAGGCATTCATGTATAATATTCTAATAGCCGACACGCACGTGTGACGCACAAACAATTGTCGGCTTCCTATTCCGCCAGTGCCGTTGTTTAGGGTAGATGAAAAGGGCGCACGACGGTTCTTTCATATGATAATTAAAAAAAAAGAAAAGAACGGCAAAAGAGCTTTTCAGGCTAAAGGCGACTAAGTGTACTAGGACGTAGACTAAAGGAGATACATTCAGTGATCGCAACTCCAACCACCGTCACCCATCAACACCACCCTAGTTGAATGTGTATTCATTCGGTTCTCCCTAATATATATTTATAATTTTTTCAGGAGGGTAAGATTTTTTTTTATATCCTATTATAATAATATAGGCCATAGACATTATTTTTGTGTACACACCGCGTCCTTACCCCTCGACCGCCATCACCATTCACCAACATCAATCCATTGGCATACACTACATTGATGTTTGCTAAGCGTGCAAATTGCAGCATATACCCTCTGGTGAAAGTTCTTTTTAAAAAAGGATTACGTGCTGCCACAACCAAACAATTAGTATAAAGAGCATATTAATATTTTAAAAATATTATAACGTTCGAATGAATAAAAAAGTCTAGCGTAATTGAATCATACAATTCTATAGTATTTACTTAAATATAACAAAGTATTTACATGTTAAGATACCATAGTGAAAGGCATTCTAAAAATATTAAACTCTACATCAAGTATTTCTTTTATACCGAAAATTGACAACATTATGAAACTAAATTCAAATATTAGTAACCTACCTAAAATAATTGGAAAATTTTCTAATGATTTCTTGACTTACTCCCAAAATAGTGCACACATTATAAGTAACAATTCAAAACAAAAATTCATTAAAGTATGAAATAATTTAATTCGCTTAAAATGTCAACGGCTTGTATTTGGGGTCACTGCTGCGTAATAATCGAAACAGCGTATTTTGTGGCAAAATAATTTTAATACGGTTTGCTTGTCATGAACACAGTATCATTACTCCGGACTGCCAAAAACACTAATACAAATGATAATGTTATATTAAATTTAACATGATAGCTGACCTAGAATAATTTATAATAAAACAGACAACTCTTCTTTATGTATAACTAATATGCTTACATTAATAATTTAGTACATACCAGTGCTACTATTTATATTTCTGTGTAAAACAAAACAAAAATAAAGGTTCAATTATTGTGGTATTGAATAAAAATTGAACTAAATAAATAATTTAATTTTCCTATAAATATCAAAACGTCAGAAGTCGTTGGGACATTTTGACATCGCTAAAAGCATAGTTTAATTAAAAGAACACTTCTTAATTGGCTTTTTGTTTTAGTTCAGGAATTCGCATATTTTAGAAACGACACAGTAACAAAAAATAAAAAAAATTTAAGGGGTAACGGGGGGCCCTGAAAATGGTAACAACTCTGGTTTGCTATTTTCAATAAAGTTGAATTAGAATTATCTTATATTAAAGCTAATTCGATATTTTTGTTTAAACTAAAAAATGATTATTTGTTTTAGATAATGAAATATGACAATGACTTATATTGGTACTAGAGTGGTTTCGTGGGGAAGGTAAGGACGGTCGCGCCTCGTTGGCTATATCATATTAATTTCTTATTTTAGTTTTAGGACAAAGCTTTTTATTGTTTATAAATTGATTTTATTTAGTATTAAAACAAAATCTCTATCCGAGTAAACGCAGACTAATATTCACATCGATGACCAATTTTTATGTCTCTTATTGATTTTTCCAGAATATATATATAATAATACATAAAAAATATATTTAAAAAAAATATATATTGTATGTATAATTATACATATATTGTATATTTGTATAAATTAATATACAAAGTGGTTCACGATAACTTAATATCTTCAATATTACCAATTAAAATATTGTTTCAATGCATGCAATTTAATAAAAAAAAAACCAATTTGTATATAGAAATAAACTATTCTTGCTGGTTGATTTAAAAAAAAATTAGTCATAGTAACAGTTTGTATATTTATGAATAATGACGATTTTCACTTTACAATCAGTTTTCAACATAATTACAATCCAAAATCAGAATAATAATTGAATTGGGAATCATTCATAGTAATAATCAGATATTATTGATCAAAAATGGCTAAATTTATAACACGTTTAATTAGAAGTGTCAAGAAGAAATTTGGAATAAGAAAAAATATTAAGGGTAATTTTTTGTACTTTCAAACGATTATTAAATTTATTTTTTCTTTAATAATAAATTTATTTTTAGTTAACTTAATACTTATTAACGTTATACTTTATATACAGTTATACAGTGACATTAGTACACTGTGAATCACAGACTACTATGTTGACAGAAGATGTGATGGTTCAAGTAGAGTGTGTACCACAATCACATAACTTAGTTTCTCGAATTGAGGGGGTTAAAGACACTACTTCTTAGACCTCGATATTATTTTCTGAAAAACTTACTCAGACTAACTTTAATTCTGTGTTTAATACGTCTGAAACACAAACAGACAAATTTGATAAATTGCGGAACACAAACTGTTCTATTGTCAGAAGATATAATTTCAAAAATACAATCCATGGCAGAACTTTATGAATCAAATTCATTATCCAAAAGTTATACAAACAGTACTGCTTCACAGTGTTACATCTTGTCTATTCCCAATGATCCTCATTTGGACACTTTGAGAGAATTGTCTT